TCCTTGGGGCTCTCTGAGCTTGGTTCTTTTCTTGCAAACGTTTCATTACCCGGCTAGGGAACATCTTCAGTGCTAGAATGGAGTGGGGTTCGCTCTCCGTTTATATACTGTGGCATGCCCTGCCAGTGTTGGTGAGGGTGTGGGTTTTGTTTTGTTTTATTTTTTCCCCTGGTAGTTCCTTGTTCTGGTCTTTTCTTTTCCTTTCTATTGTCTCTTGAATAGTGTGTAGATGCTGTTTATCTCTATGTGCCTGTTGATGGCTGCCTTGTCTGAATACCAAGCTTCCAGGAATTCCCTCGCATTTTTGGATTTAGCTTGGTCTAAGATGCTGACAGTTTCCCAGTTGAAAATATGGTTCAGTCTTCTATGTGCCTGTTGATGGCTGCCTTGTCTGAATACCAAGCTTCCAGGAATTCCCTCGCATTTTTGGATTTAGCTTGGTCTAAGATGCTGACAGTTTCCCAGTTGAAAATATGGTTCAGTCTGTCCATATCCACAGTTTGTCCAGAACTTCTCCACACCAGCAATCATCACCTAGGTAAGCAGAGATTAACATCAAGATTATTGCCAGACACATAATCAAGCAGTAAACAATACCCTAATCAAGGAACTACCAGAGGAACAAAACCAACCCCCTCCCCAACACTGGCAGGGCACACCACAGTATATAAACGGAGAGCAAACCCCACTCCCTTCTAGCACTGAAGATGTTACCTAGCCAGGTAATGAAACATTTGTAAGAAAACAGCCAATCTCAAAGAACCCCAAGGACTCCACATTAAGTATTACATTAAGTATGCCAATAATACAATAACTATTATAAATGCTCTATACCAAAATAAATTGATATAGAACAAACAGCTTGGTATATTATTAGATTACTCAGATAATTAAATTTCCTCTAGTCTCTAACCTATCTATGCAAATCTAAAAATTGGGGCTTTAGTTGGTGTTTTAATTCTTGGAAACAATAGCTCAAGAAAATTGCCTTTATTTCAAATTGTTTGTCTCATATTAATATAAATATATCAATCAAATCTATATTACGGTCAAAGAGCAGCATAAGGAGGGTGGGCTACAGTCAATTAAAAAGCATTAAAAATATATCAAAGTCTCTCTCTCTCTCTCTCTCTCTCACTCTGTGTGTGTGTGTGTATATATAATTATAAAAAGCTAAAAATATAAAACAGGAAATATATCTAAAATGAATTTCAAAAGAAGGAGGGGTAGGAGAATTAGATGGATTTTAAGGGAGCATAAAGGTTAGTATGTGGCACAGTCTATCAACTTACAAATCACTCTAATATTGCAAACTAGATACTCATTAAGACTAGTTTACGGCACAGGTCATCATCTGATGAATTTTAATTGCTGCTGCACAGAACCTGGCAACATTATATGCTGTAGCAGGT